TTTTTATTGTTTGGTTGCTAAATTTGCCACATTATTATTTTATTTAGCCATGTATTTACTTTTTCAAGCCATTTATATATTTCTACATTTATTTCCCATTATGATAGGTTTGGTCCTCCATACTTTGCAAGTGGGAAAACTTGAAAAATCAACAGTGTATCAAATACTTGTTCTCCCCACTGTATATGGATTTAATTATGATATCAGGATGATCCAGGTATCAAAATGTAGCTTTTAAAGCCAAGAATCTGAAAATGTAATTAGGTAATTTTGACCAAATTTGACTTAATCCTCATTTCAGTATGATGGGTCACATATATCCTGTGTATAGTGTTTTTCCCTTATCTTTATTTATCTTTCTTTATTCTATCTCACCCTCTCTTGTATTGAACTGCAGTAATGTGCAAATTTCCCCACTTTGGGATCAATAAAGTTTTATCGTATCGTATTGTACCGTATTGTATCTTATCTTCTTATCGTATCTTATCGTATCTTATCTTCTTATCCTATTGTATCTTATCTTCTTATCTTATGGTATCTTATCTCATCTTCTTATCTTATCGTATCGTATCTTATCTTCTTATCTTATCGTATCTTATCTTCTTATCGTATCTTTTCTTCTTATCGTATCTTATATCGAATCTTATCGTATCATATCTTCTTATCGWATCGTATCTTATCTTCTTATCATATCGTATCTTATCTTCTTATCTTATCATATCGTATCTTAGTTTATCTTCTTATCRTATCTTATCTTCTTATTGTTTCATATCATATCATATCTTATCTTATCTTCTTATCGTATAGTATCTTATCTTATCGTATCGTATCTTATCTTCTTATCGTATCGTATCTTATCTTCTTATCTTTTCGTATCTTATCTTCTTATCATATCTTATCTTATGGTATCTTATATCGTATCTTATCGTATCATATCTTCTTATCGTATCATATCTTATCTTCTTATCGTATCGTATCTTATCTTCTTATCATATTGTATCTTATCTTCTTATCATATCGTATCTTATCTTCTTATATCGTATCTTATCTTCTTATTGTGTCGTATCTTATCTTCTTATCTTATCGTATCTTATCTTCTGATCGTATCATATCTTATCTTATCGTATCTTATATCGTATCTTATCGTATATCTTCTTATCGTATCATATCTTATCTTCTTATCGTATCGCATCTTATCTTCTTATCTTATCGTATCTTATCTTCTTATCTTATCGTATCTTATCTTCTGATCGTATCATATCTTATCTTATCGTATCTTATATCGTATCTTATCGTATATCTTCTTATCGTATCATATCTTATCTTCTTATCGTATCGCATCTTATCTTCTTATGGTATCGCATCTTATCTTCTTATCGTATCGCATCTTATCTTCTTATCTTATCGTATCTTATCTTCTTATCTTATCGTATCTTATCTTCTTATCGTATCTTATCTCTTCTTATC